TAACAAACCTGCTTCGAATGTCACATCTATAATTATCTTTTTACACAGGCTTCTCATCCAAACAAGACAATAACATCTTTTTATTCCATGCCGGAATATGAAGCATGGAAAGAAAGATTGGGGAACAGTGCAACTAGTTGGAAGATAAAATACTATAAGGTTTGTTGTTGTAAGCATGGAGAATCTTCATAATTTTAGCTTATAGTATTTGTAAACCACTATATATGCATATGTTGCTACATAGCATGAACACCCCTTGAATTAAGCGTGTACACTGCCGAAGATGTTTTGTCGTACACGCGTGTTAGATAACTTCAAAAATTTCTCAATTTTATTAGTTATATATAAAACCAAAGTTGAAAAGACGTTTTTACTTTTTACTGGGCAATGTGGTAGACAAATATTTGAATGACACTACACCTATAGTGAAAATAGTTTTTATTTTATCTTACCCTTTTTTTAATAAATTTGACCTTTGAATTTGATATTTTTTTATTTTAGGTGAAAAAACATAATATTTGAATGACACTGAATATTGTTTTTTTTTTTATTTTAATAAATTTGACCTTTGAATTTGATATTTTTTTATTTTAGGCGAAAAAACATAATATTTTAATGACACTAAATTTTGTTTTTGATGAACTAAAGGTCCTCCCAAATGAATGATAGCATTTTGTTTTGAATGATCTAAAGGTCCCCCAAATGAATGACACAGCATATACATGCTTCAGTAAAAAATATTAACACTAATTAATTTCAGAAATTGTAAAATTTTAGTATAAAAACAAATGTAAAGTTTGTTGCGACAACTAGCTATAAATTCATTTGAATCAACCTTCTGATGTGTTTTGGTGTTTGTTTTAGGGGTTGGGTACAAGTACTCCCCAAGAAGGGAGAGAGTACTTTGGTGATCTTGATAAGCACCAAAAGGATTTCATTTGGGATGATGAACTCGATGGAAGTGCAATTGAGCTGGCATTTAGCAAGAAAAAAGCTGAAGATAGGAAGATTTGGATGCGTAATTTTGAGGTATGATTACCAATTCGTGAATCTGCTAGGCGCTAGCTAAAAGCTCTGTTAGGGTGTATAGTTAACACATGGTTTATCATTTTCTGTTGTTGCAGCCTGGAACTTGTCGTGATCATGAAGCCAAACTTATAAATTACAAGGATTTCGTTAACAAAGAGCTTATATTGTTCTCAAGAGCAGATCTTCAGAGGTCCATTCCCTCTATGGTTGATGGCCTTAAACCTGGTCAAAGGAAGATTCTTTTTGGTTCATTTAAGAAAAAGTTATACAAAGAAATTAAAGTTGCCCAGTTTATCGGTTACGTGTCTGAGCACTCTGCTTACCACCATGGTGAGCAGAGTCTTGCTAGCACAATTATTGGAATGGCACAGGATTTTGTGGGCAGCAACAACATCAATCTTCTCAAACCGAATGGTCAATTCGGTACTCGTAACTTGGTGAGGCAAACCTGCAGAATAAGCCTTTGCTGCAGTATTTACCATGTTAAAAATGTAAAATCTGTACTTACTGTAATTTGCTTTTTCAGGGTGGTAAAGACCATGCAAGTGCTCGATACATCTACACTGAGCTTAGTCCTGTTACTAGATGCCTCTTCCATGAGAATGATGATAAGCTTCTTGAATATTTGAATGAGGATGGGAAGTCCATTGAACCAAATTGGTATTTGTTTTCTCCTTTCTTTCTAAAGGCTATTTTTGTTTGTGATTACTGATTAGTGATAATTAAGTAACACCATATATGTTGAATTAATTAGATTTTTGCTTGTCACCACAGGTATATGCCAATTATACCTTTGGTTCTTGTCAATGGAAGTGAGGGGATTGGGACAGGTTGGAGTTCTTACATTCCCAATTATAATCCACGGGAAATTATTGCCAATGTTAGACGATTGTTAAATGGTGAAGCATTAGTGCCGATGGATCCATGGTACAAAGGATTCAGAGGTACTATTGAGAAAAGCGCCAAAGAAGGTGGTTATATAGTCAATGGAGCTGTGACTGAAATAGACGAGCAAACGTTCAGAATCACAGAGCTTCCTATACGTAAGTGGACTCAAGATTATAAGCAGTTTCTTGAATCCATAACTGATGGTGCGCCTAATGTCAAGGATCCTCTCATTGAGGTAACATAACCTAATCATTTACTCACCATAAACACAAATAGTTAATTTGTGTCTCTCTTTTCATTTGAATTTATGTTTGTTTGCAGGATTTTAGGCAAAATGGGGATGATGCAATTGTAGACATTGAAATCAAGATGAAGCCAGAAAAGATAGCTACAATCCTGCAAGAAGGATTATTCAAGAAATTCAAATTGACTAGCACTATTAGCACAAGCAACATGCACCTTTTTGATGCAGAGGGAAAAATTAAGAAATTTGACACTCCAGAACAAAGTATACTTCACAATAAATAGTTGTTTTGAATCACAATGTCTACAATGTTTTTCATACTAACTGTTTTGTTCCATTTTTTGTGCAGTTCTTGAAGAGTTCTTTCCACTTCGGCTAAACTATTATGAGAAGAGAAAGGTGGGTTTTGATGGCAGTGAGTTGTGCATTGGTTTTTCTTTTATATTCTGTACCTATTTAATATGAACTGATTGCAAGTTGTGCATGCATGCAGGAATATATATTGGGCAACCTTAATCGACTATTGTTGATTTTGGATAACAAGGTCAGGTTTATATTAGGGGTTGTAAATGGAGAAATTATTGTGAGCAACCGGAAAAAAGCTGAGTTGTTGATTGAGCTGAAGCAGAAAGGTTTTACTCCCATGCCCAGGAAAGGTAAATCTACAAAACCACAAGTTGCAGGGGCAAATGATGATGATTCAGAAGAGCAGGAAGATGCTGAGCCGGAAACTGCATCTCAGTCTGGCAGTGTTGAAGGAGCAACATGGGGTGACTACGAGTATCTTTTATCCTTACCTATTGGAACTTTGACTCTTGAAAGTGTGCAAAAGTTGCTTGACGAAAAGACTGAAAAGGAACAGGAGTATGAAATTTTGTCTGGAACACCAACAACGTCACTGTGGTTGAAGGATCTAGACGAGTTTGAAAAGAAACTTGATGTGAGAGATCATTGCTGAATTTGTTTAGTTATATTTGAATCAATGACAGTCTATATTAATTATCTTTGTGTGTGTATTTCAGGAGCTAGATAGCAAAGAGGCAGAAGAGGATAGGAAGAGAGCAAGCCAAGGAAGTAAAAAAGCTAACGGTTTTGCTTCTAAACCTTCAAAGAAGCCTCCACAGCCACGAAAGAATACCAAGAAGGCCAAAAATGCTGAGCCAGAGAATGATAATTCTTCAATGGAAATTGGTAAGTTTGAGTTGTATTCTTTTTTATTAATATTATGTGTTAAATGTGTAATTTTTGAGATTTGTTATTCACTTGGGTATGAACTTTCTTGATTTGCATTATCAGAGAATCCTGTTGAAGCTGGAAAACCAGTTGAGGTGGCAAAACCAAAAGGACGAGCAGCTCCTAAAAAGACCATCCAAAAGGTATGCCAATTGCCGATTTTTTGTAGTGCATTGTTTTACACTGAATCATGTTTAAGCCCTTACGTTTTCATATTATACCTTTCCACCAGGAAGCTGAAGATGATATTCAATCTCTTCAAGAACGTCTAGCTGCGTATAACTTTGAATCATCTGGCGAAAAGTCACAAGGTAAATATTTTTGGGCTGATATGTTATGAATCTTCCAATCTATTGCCTAGTTATGTAGTGTATAGTGTTACACATGCTGAGTACTGAACTTGCTGTTTTCTTCCATAGCTATGGAAAGTGAAGAAGTACCACAGAAGGCTGCAGGGAAGAAACAGAATAACAAAAGGGGTGGGGCAAAAAAGAAGTCAAGTACCAAAGCGTTGGAATCAGATAGTGATAATGAAGTTGATGAGGGCGATGATGACGATGACGACTTTGAAGAAGTACAACAGAAGGCTGCACCAGTTAAGAAGGGAGGGAGAAAGCCTGCTGCTCAGAATGCCAAGAAGGCACCTGCAAAGGCTCCAGCAAAGGCACCCGCGGCACCTAAGAAAAGAAATGTCGGTGCTAAACAATCAGCTGGTCAAAAATTATTAACTGATATGTTGCAGCCAGCCGAAGGTACAGGTACCTCCCCAGAGAAGAAAGTGAGGAAGATGAGAGAGTCTCCTTTTAACAAAAAAAGTGGTTCTATACTGGGCAGGGCTGCTGCTAAGGATATAAGTCCAATTGCTAAGGATATAAGTCCAATTGCAGATTTGTCTGCAGGTTCTGCTTCTAACTCTCCTCTTTCAGAAGACGAGGTGGTTGAGATTGCACCACAGCCAGCAAGGGCGAGACCTCAGAGGGCAAATCGTGCTCAAATGAAATATGTACTGAGTGAATCTGAGAGTGAAGAGGATTCGGATGAAGATGCGGAATTGTCAGATTTTGAAGAAGATGATGACTAGACTATTATTTTAATTTGCACTGTTGAAACTAGATGTATGCTGTGTCTGTTGTTATGTAAAATATTGATCTGTGTCTTGCAGATTTGTGTTTCTTATTTGATGATTCTGAACTCATTAGTTTGTTTCTTTATTTGATGATTCTGAACTCATTAGTTTGTTTCTTATTTGATGACTCTGAACTCATTAGTTTGAATGAAACAATCAGATTTCTGACTCTAAGACATCGTTCTTCTATTCCTTGTGGATATGCATCTGAATTAAATTAGTTTGTTTTATCATCTATATCAATTTATTTGTCAAATCTTTTTCAGCATTTGCGTTACTGCGTCACTGTCCAATTTAATGCCATTTCAAAATTTTAACCCAACACATCATAGTCTAACTCACCCTTTTCGTAACTTGATAGGTTTTGCAAGTTTTACTTCTCAAATTCACACAACAGTTTTCTATTTTCTTGATGCTACATACAATTGTGTCTAATTCTACACTACCTATATCCATCTTCTATATTTTTTCTTAGGTCTACTATCTAATATTATTATATGACATGACAGAAAAATCTTCATCTAATCCATCTATTTCTCCTTTAAGTCTATGTTGTTGGATTATCAAAACTGAAAGCGTCACTGCAAAATCCGGTCCTGAAAGAACATCGCCTATAGGTCCAAGTTCAGGACACTGCTGCCAATCATTCATCCCTCTTGTTAAAATTGAGTTCACCCCTCCTTCTCTTCCTACAATAACCAACGAGTATAGCCCTTCAAACGATTTGAGAATAGAGAATGTCTCGGAAGCATTTGCGAGATGTTTCTCCGTATACGCAATTCTTCCTCCAATCACATGCTTCTCGTAGAACTCTGCAAAACATTCGTCATCCAACTGCATTTCCTGCTCCTGTTCCGGGAGGATGATTCTGTATCCGACTAATCTAGACGACTCTGCAGTTGTATCTACTAGGAATCGTATTACAGTCAGATTTACTCCTGGATGTCGCGCGACACGGCTTGCATACGCAAGTGCTTCTCTATCGTCTTTCCCACCTATGAATATTACTGCCACGTTTTCTGATGCTTGACATCTCGTTAAACGTTCTAACGATCCAAAACCTCTATCTACTAGAATCCCAACAGAACAAGGCGCACTTCGTAGTACCTGTTCAAAACAATAATATCCATTTGTCAAATTTGTGTGTCAGAATAAGATATCTATAGTTTTTAAGACATTACCTTTCTATTAACATATCTGAACCCTTGATTACCACCATCCAATGTTCGATCCTGACGTTGAAACCGATGGAACGGTAATATGACAAGCGCAACCATCAAGTCCTCTGCTAAAACACAAATGTCTTGTGGCATGTTATTAATCGTTGATAACGCCATGGTTCTTTTCAACGTAATACCTTCACCATTATCTAAAACATGCGCTTGGAACGCGCTTGTTATTTTTTCTCTCATTTCCATTACTTCTTTGTCTTTCACAGTTGCTGTGTGAACTCCTTCATCCTTCTCTAAGTTCACCGATATTTCGTTCGTTAGTTCGATCATGTCAGCGACATACACTAGAATACCCGGGTCAGCTCCACCTTTTGTAATCTCCACAAAGCTTATCGATGCAGGAACATTTTGAGGTCCATGAACACATACCAGGATCCGTAGCTCGCTTGATGGATCAATCGATTGAAGTGCTAAACGATGAGTAGGCGATCTTTTCTTTGCACGTTTTATGATAACCGCTACCACTGATGGCAGGTATATAACTGTGAAAAAGATTGCAAATATCATCCCAATGACCGTGGACACAGTTGTTGCTTCGCCACAACCGATCTGCAAAATACAATTTCAATGACTTGCATTACACTCAACAACAATTATTCGGTAAATTTTTAAAATTCATTTTCGAAATACGCATAAGGATTTACCACTTTTACAGCTAAGTAGATATGCAAATGACCCTTTGCAGTAAGAAGCAATCCTATCGAAGTCGCTTCCGGCCAGTGAAACCCTTGTATCGCCCCCGAAACAAGTGCTCCCAAAATTTTTCCGGTTATTGACAAAACAATAAGCATAAATATTTTTACCCATGTGTTAAAATTTTTTCCATCAAACTGCCTCAAATCTGCTTCAAACCCAACCCACAAGAAAAAAATGTAAAAGAAAATTGTATTCAGCAAATAGTTGATTTTGGTAACAATCCATTTTGAAACCCTACCCTCCTTAGGAAAGCAAACACCAACCATAAAAGCACTTAAAATCGGCGTATAACCGGTTAAAACCGATGAAGAACACATTAACACGACAAACGCAATCGAAAGTATCAAATGTGGGCCTTTCATAGGTCTACCGTCTGGATTTTCATTATTAACCCAACTCATAAAAAACGGAGAAACTAGTAATGTGAATACCACTTCTGCCAAGACGGCGAAACCCATTTTCATCCGTCTTTTAGAATCAAAACCAAGGTTCAAATCATGGCAAACATCAGGTAGTGGAGCAAATATGTAGGAAATTGAAAGTAAACAATAGCACAAGAAATCCGAGTGCATTGAAGACGCGATTACAAGCTTCCCGATATCTGATTTTCCGATTTTGAGCTGTGTTATTAAACGCGTCAACACAGGCGAATCCGTGCTTGCCATCAGGATCGAGAGAGCTAATGAGAATTCTACTAGTTTTTCCACGTTCGGAAAGTACCTTACAAAAGGAGATACAAAAATCGCTAATACGAATGTTATGCCAACTCCGGAACATGCAACCCTAACATGTCTCGATGGTTTTTGTAATAGAATGTATGGATCCATTTCTATCCCTAATGCAAACATATAAGCCATCATCCCAAAATCAATTATAAATCCAAACGTCATGTTGAATTTCTCGAATAAAATACGTACAAATCCTATGTTTCCAACGAATACTCCTACCTGCATTCATATAATCAATCATGATCATTACAAAAACACGCACACGCACGCGACAATGTTGTACAATAAACCAAATTTGAGATTTCGAAACTTACGATTATATGAGAAGTGAGTCGAGGCTGCGAATAAGACTTCAGAAAAAAATGCAAACCATTGCACAAAATCACCATGATCATAAATAGAGAAAAGTTTTTAGCTAACCCAAGAATGAGATTGCCTAGCTTGTCACCACATTGAAAAGGTGACGGTATCATTGACAAGTCAAAAGCCATTTTGACAAACCAAAACCAAAATCAATTAATCTTTTTCTCTAGATTATAACTTGTTACATTTCTTCTTCTTCTTTGAAGTTTCAATTACTAAGAACTAACATTTTTGTTACAAACTTGTTTTGTGAAATTCTATGGTTGTTATTTCTTAGCTTTGTTTAAGGAGACTATAGAGGAGCACTTTAAGGATTAAGAAAAAACTTATAAGGTAAAAGTGAAGTATTGAAATTATGTGTGAAAAATATTAAACCGAAAAAAATGGATCAATCACAATTTAATGCTTCATTCCTATTAATTATTCAATATAAATTAAAATTATTTTTTATTCTAATTATACAAAAACATATTCCGCGGCAAACCCTAACGTTCAAATTAGGGTTCATAAAATAAAACACACCAACAAATCATTCTAAAATTAATATGAAACAAACAGTTAACAAAATTTTTATTAAAATATTAAAACTCCATTGATAAAATCTAAAAAAATTATCAAAACAACTTACCTAGCGCATAATCCTTCATTTTATGAATTATCAAAGCACATAGAAATTAATTGTCACTTACTTTCACTTACTTGTGAAAAGATTAAAGCAAAAATATTTTTCTTTTCATAAGATGTTAATTCTACATCAAGAATTAAATTGTTTCGTTTGACTATATAAAATTAATAATTTCATAGAATTAAAATTTATATTTATTATACTATTTTTTTATAATAATAATAATTTTAAATTCTCCAGCATTTAGAAATATTAATATATTTGAACATCTAAAAAATCTTTAACTGGCAAAATTAATAAAATACACATAAAAGTTAACATTCGATATTAACAAATAAATTATTTTTTCATTAGAAGTTTAATATATCTTAAAATCTCACGAATATCTCGTGTGATCCAAAAGGGATACAGATTCTTGAGCTAGAAGCAGCATTCTACTACATCTCTATGGAAAAATATAATGGACATAAATAGGATACTATGGGGAAACTCTTGGATATTTAGAAATTCTTGGCTGTTTGTCAAGCCATGGTACCTATCCTACGTAACAATGGAAGAGATCATCTATATAATATTTTATTCTTTATTTACATAATAAGATATTATATAATATCTATAATGTAATTATTGAAATAATTGACATTAAAATAGCTTTTAATATAAAAAATAAAAATAAATAAATTTTGAAACATAAATAAATATTGAATAATTTTTAAATAAAAAAATAATTGAAAACACATTCGGCGGCAGCAAACCCAAATTAGGGTTCATAAAAAAACACATCAACAAATCACTCTAAAATTCATATGAAACAATTGACACAAATTTTTTATAAAAAATATTAAAACTCCATTGATAAAATCTAACATTATTCAAGTAGGCAAGTCAAACCTACATAAAGGACATGAATGACCTATCTTCAACCAATCGCTTATACATTTTTGATGAAACATATGCGAACATGGCATAACAAGACAAACATTAAAATCTTCAAAACAAATACTACATTTTCCTTCTTTTTCAACTCTCTCTAAATCTTCAATACACGATTTCTCCGCAGGAACAAACTCAATATCTTCATCAATATCTTCATCACTGCTATCTTCATCACTTTCATTAATTTCATAGCCTTCTCCATCACTTTCACTACCTTCATCTTCGCTAGCTCTTGTAATACAAATATCAACTCGAATAGAAAAAACCCTTGAATTCTTATGAGTCGTTTTCGCCATATGGCCTAAACATTCTAAAATTTTCTCCTCTACTACCCAATAAGCATCTTGAGGTATATCCATTTGAGAAAGCCATGATAGAATAGTTGTGTTTTGAATCATCTTATCCTTTGTGACATGTGAAAAAGTGTGACACTTTGTAACTTCAACAGTTCTAAACCTCCTCGCACTCAAAACATGCATATTCTTGCAATTAAACTCAACCTTAAAATTTCTTTCTGTGATAGCTGAAGACGAAATTTTGTTTCGATCAAATTCAGAAGAGTAATCTTCGTATACATCACAATGATATTCATCCATGGTTAAACCCTAAAACAAGTGATCGCAAAAAGTGTCTATATGTGAGAGCTTGTACTCAAAACAAAAACTAATGAGAGAATTCAAAAACAAACTATGAATGAGAAATAAATAGAGGAAACAGTTGAGAAAATCAGAACAATTTAAAATCGTTTTCCGCTACTTTGTTGCAACAAAACCCTAAATATTCGATATTGAGAAAACAGAACCTACTTATAAATCTCAACCGCACAATGCTATCTTCTCATTAATATATATATATATATATATATATATATATATATATATATATATATATATATATATATATATATATATATATATATATATATATATATATATATATATATATATATATATATATATATATATATATATTCAGTTGAAATATATAACTGAAATATAATATATTTCTAAAATTAAAAGATTTCAAAATTTAATACACAACTATATTCAACATTCTAGGTTCGTTTCACTATATAAAATAAATAATTTTATAGAATTGAAAATTATGTTTAATACCTTAATTATTTATTTCTTTTAATAATAATAATTTTAAATTCTTCTGTATCTAGAAATATCTACAAAATTTTAAACTGGCAACTACTTAAATCAAAATTAATAAAATAGAGAAACTACTTAAATTAATATGATACAGTTAACAAATTTTTTATTAAAATATTAAAACTCCATTGATAAAATCTAAAAAAATTAGGGTTCAAAGCTTAGTCTACTCAACCTCCATAGTCTAGCTTCTGGGGTGTCTTACATATTAACATATTATAATTACTATTTTACTTTTATTTCTCTAAATTACTTTATTTTAGGATAATTATTTTTTCCCCAGCTTTCCTACTAGTTAGGAAAGTTTGTTATTCTAATTGTATATATAAACATATCATGTATACTCTTAATAATATGAAATAATATTTTTCTTTTTCATAAGATGTTAATTCTACATCAAGAATTAAATTGTTTCGTTTGACTATATAAAATTAATAATTTCATAGAATTAAAATTTATATTTATTATACTATTTTTTTATAATAATAATAATTTTAAATTCTCCAGCATTTAGAAATATTAATATATTTGAACATCTAAAAAATCTTTAACTGGCAAAATTAATAAAATACACATAAAAGTTAACATTCGATATTAACAAATAAATTATTTTTTCATTAGAAGTTTAATATATCTTAAAATCTCACGAATATCTCGTGTGATCCAAAAGGGATACAGATTCTTGAGCTAGAAGCAGAATTCTATTACATCTCTATGGAAAAATATAATGGACATAAATAGGATACTATGGGGAAATTCTTGGCTGTTTGTCACATAATAAGATATTATATAATATCTATAATGTAATTATTGAAATAATTGACATTAAAATAGTTTTTAATATAAAAAATAAAAATAAATAAATTTTGAAACATAAATAAATATTGAATAATTTTTAAATTAGAAAATTTTAAATATGATAGATGATCTGACATACATATCGAGAAATAAGTAAACAATTAACTATTGAACATTATGAAAGACTATTTTGTAAACGACATTTTTAGTTACATTTGTATCTTCACCTTCGTCGTTGGTTATCAGTATCTTTAAGCCTTTCTTTGAAGTAACTCTTGACAATGCAACATATAATTGCCCATGAGAAAAAATTGACTAGGGAAGATACACTCCTACATATTTAAGTGACTGACCTTGACTCTTGTTGATTGTCATAGCAAATGATACAGTCAATGAAAATTGTCGACATTGAAATTTGAAAGGGATTGTTTTATCGGTTGGAGTCAGTGATAACCTTGGAATAAAAACCTTCTGACCAATATTGTTACCTCATATGATCTTACCTTCAAGGACCTATCTTCCCATTTTTGTAATTATCAATCGGGTGCCATTGCACAATCCCAACTACTGATCAATATTTCTCAACAACATTACTGGGTGTCATACCCTAAATTTTACCCTTATTTTTTTTTGCATTGCCAGCATAGCATATCATGTCTGTCATTTTTCATAATACCCAATTTATCAGTTGGAATAAACTTGTTGGATTTACAGCTGAATTGGTCAAACTAAAAGTTAACTGTGTGAAAAATCAGCGGACGAAAATTTTTAAAGTCGAGTTTGAGAACATCAGTCATATTAATCTTCGTTTCATGTAGTTTAACCTGACGTGCTCATTTAAATTTTTTCGACCACTTTTCGGTCGCATTTTTAGACAGTTTAAACCATTTTAGCAGATAAAATTCATTTCGAAATTTGACCAAACACTGTATTTTTTCTAATACGTATATTTCGCGCTGATCACTTTGGTATATTCATTTTTTAGCACTTCGATACTGGTCTATTTTCTCGTTTTTAACCAATTTTATTTTCATTTTAGTTTTTTTTATTTAATTCAAATTAGATTAAATTAGTTTAATTAATTTAAGTTTATTTTATTTATTTGATTTGATATTCTATATTTCATTTTAAAATTCAAATACTTGCCTTTATTAGAAACACTTCCTTTTTTAAGTTTTGTAAAGTTGATTTGGTCTTACTCTATTTTTATAAAAGTTTCTTTTGCATGCATGCTACACACCTATTTTGTATTTTCACATATCTTTCTCCAAGCGTGCTCATAAAAGACAAGAAAATTAACCTCTCTCATGTTTAAAATACTTTTCTCTCTCCCTATTTTTGACTTGAAAAAGAAATTTACTCTCTTAATGAATAAGGGGTCTGCTGGCTTTTTTTAGGAGGGAGGACAGTACAAACTTTTTCTGAAAGCACATTTTTTTTTAATATCTCACTTTTGGATTCAATAAAGAAAAAAACAAAAACAAAGACCGGGGAAAAAAAGACTCTCCATAGATTTCCTCTCAAAAACTTCACCATTTTTTTTACTACATATCCAACACTAATCTTGAACAACCACACAAATACCAAGTTTTATATAAACATCGCCCTCACTGCTGCACTAATGAGAGAATTCAAAAACAAACTATGAATGAGAAATAAATAGAGGAAACAGTTGAGAAAATCAGAACAATTTAAAATCGTTTTCCGCTACTTTAAATATTCGATATTGAAAAAACAGAACCTACGTATAAATCTCAACCGCACAATGCTATCTTCTCATTACTATATATATATATATATATATATATATATATATATATATATATATATATATATATATATATATATATATATATATATATATATATATATATATATATATATATATATATTCAGTTGAAATATATAACTGATATATATTATATTTCTAAAATTAAAAGATTTCAAAATTTAATACACAACTACATTCAACGTTCTAGGTTCGTTTCACTATATAAAATTAATATTTTATAGAATTGAAAATTATGTTTAATACCTTAATTATTTATTTCTTTTAATAATAATAATTTTAAATTCTTCTGTATCTAGAAATATCTACAAAATTTTAAACTGACAAAAGTAATAAAATAGAGAAACTACTTAAATCAAAATGTGATCTTTATTATTAAAAAAAAAACCTCAATATAAAAGTTAACATTAGATATTAATAAATAAAATCTTTTTTCATTAAAGAGCATTAGATGAATATCTTTTCGAATCGTTCTAGCTTAATCTTTTTTAATTGATCTATATATAGTAAATATACGAGGACTATTAAAGAAAAACAAAGCTATTTTCTAATTATATATATATATATATATATATATATATATATATATATATATATATATATATATATATATATATATATATATATATATATATATATATATATATATATTATATATATATATATATATATATATATATATATAAATTTACAAGAATTCAAAAAATTAATACACACAATTTTAAGATATATTATAATTATTATTTTTTTATTTCTCTAAAGTTAGTTTATTTTAGGAAAATTAGTTTTTACGAGCTTTCCAACTAATTAGGAAAGTTTGTTATTCTGATTGTTATTTCTTAGCTTTGTTTAAGGAGACTATAGAGGAGCACTTTAAGGATTAAGAAAAAGCTTATACGGTGAAAGTGAAGTTTTGAAATTATGTGTGGAAACCGTTAAATCTAAAAAAAAGGATTGCAATTTAATGCTTCATTCCTATCAATCATTCAATATAAATTAAAATTAAAATTTTAATTTAAATAAAAAAGTAATTATACAAAAAATAATTGAAAGCACATTCGGCGGCAGCAAACCCTAACATTCAAATTAGGGTTCATAAAAAAAACACATCAACAAATCACTCTAAAATTCATCTAAAATTCATATGAAACAATATGAAACAATTCCATTGATAAAATCTAACATTATTCAAGTAGGCAAGTCAAACCTACATAAAGGACATGAATGACCTATCTTCAACCAATCGCTTATACATTTTGGATGAAACATATGCGAACATGGCATAACAAGACAAACATTAAAATCTTCAAAACAAATACTACATTTTCCTTCTTTTTCAACTCTCTCTAAATCTTCAATACACGATTTCTCCGCAGGAACAAACTCAATATCTTCATCACTGCTATCTTCATCACTTTCATTAATTTCATAGCCTTCTCCATCACTTTCACTACCTTCATCTTCGCTAGCTCTTGTAATACAAATATCAACTCGAATAGAAAAAACCCTTGAATTCTTATGAGTCGTTTTCGCCATATGGCCTAAACATTCTAAAATTTTCTCCTCTACGACCCAATAAGCATCTTGAGGTATATCCATTTGAGAAAGCCATGATAGAATAGTTGTGTTTTGAATCATCTTATCCTTTGTGACATGTGAAAAAGTGTGACACTTTGTAACTTCAACCATTCTAAACCTCCTCGCACTCAAAACATGCATATTCTTGCAATTAAACTCAACCTTAAAATTTCTTTCAGTGAGAGCTGAAGACGAAATTTTGTTTCGATCAAATTCAGAAGAGTGATCTTCGTATACATCACAATGATATTCATCCATGGTTAAACCCTAAAAC